AATACAAGCAAAAAAAATCCAAAGACACATTAAAAAGATCATTTACCATGATCAGGTGACATTTATCCTAGGGATGGATGCAAGGATGGTTTAACATACACAAATCAACAGACGTGATACATCACATCACAGAATGAAGGGGAAAAAAAACATATGATCATTTCAATAGATGAAGAAAAAGCATACAATAAAATCCAACACCCTTTACACAAAAAAACACTCAACAAATTCAGTATACAAGCAATGTACCTCAACACGATAAAGGCCACATACAACAAACCCACAGCTAACATCATACTGAACAGACAAAAATTGGAGGCTTTCCCTAAAAGATCTGGAACAAGACAAGGATGCCCCCTTTCCCCACTCTTACTCAACACAGTACTAGAAATTCTAGCCACAGCAATAAGGGAAGAGAAAGCAATAAAGGGCATCCAAATTGGAAAGGAGGAAGTCAAACCATCTCTATTTACAGATGACATGATCATACATATAGAAAACCCTAAAGACTCCACCAAAAAATTACTAGAACTAATAAATGAATTCAGTATGGTGACAGGATACAAAATCAACACACAAAAACAATAGCCTCCCTATGTGCCAATAATGAAATAGCTGAAGAAGAAATCAAGTAATCCCATTCACAATAACTACCAAAAAATGAAATACCTACGAGTAAATTTAACCAAGGAGGTGAGGACCTCCTTGAAAACTATAAAACACTGGTGAAAAAAACTGAAGAGAACTCAAATAAATGGAAAGATATCCCATGTTCTTGAGTTTGAAGAATTAACATCATCATTATGTCCATATTACCCAAAGCAAAATACACATTCAGCACAATCTCTCTCAAAATTCCAATGATATTCTTCACAGAAATAGAAAAAACAATCTTAAAATTTCTATGGAACCACAAAAGACCCCATATAGCTAAAGCAATCTTGAACAAAAAGAACAAAGTTGGAGGCACTACACTTCCTGACTTCAAAATATACTATAAAGCTATAGTATCCAAAAAAGCAAGGCACTGGCATAAAAATAGACAAATTGACCAATGGAGCAGAATAGAGAGTGCAGAAATAAATCCATGCACTTACAGCCAACTGATTTTCACCAAGGTGCCAAGAGTACACATTGGGGAAAGGACAGCCTCTTCAATAAATGGCACTGGGAAAACTGGATATCCAAATGCAGAAGACAGAAATTAGATTCCTGTCTCTCACCATACACAAATAGCAACTCAACATGACCTACATTTAAGACCTGAAACTATGAAACTACTAGGAAAAAAACAGGGGAAACGCTACACAAAATGGAAATGGGCAGCACTTTCTTGAGCAAGACTACAAAGGCAAAGGCAACTAAAGCAAAAATACACAAATGGGACTACATCAAACTGAAAAGCTTCTGCACAGCAAGCGACACTATCAACAAAGTGAAGAGACAACCTACAGAATGGGAGAAAGCGTTTGCAAAGTATAGATCTGACAAAGGGCTAATATGCAGAATATATAAGGAGCTCAAACACCTTGATGGCAAAAAACCAAATAACCCAATTAAAAAATCAGCAAAGGACCTGAACAGACATTTCTCAAATGGCCAACAAGCAAATGAAAAACCGCTCAAAATCACTAATCATCAGGGAAATGCAAATTAAAACTACAATGAGATACCACCTCTCCCCAGTTAGAATGACTATTATCAACATGACAGAAAATAAATGCTTGCAAGGATGTGGAGAAAAGAGAACCCTCCTACATTGCTGGTGGGAATGTAAATTGGTATAACCATGTGGAAAACAGTACAGAGGTTCCTCAGAGAACTAAAAATAGATCTCCCTTATGACCCAGCTATCCCACTACTGGGTATATACCCGAAGGAAATGAAATCAATATATCAGAAAGACACCTGCACTCCCATGTTCCTGGCAACACTATCACAATGGCCAAGAGATGGAATCAACCTAAATGCCCATCAATGGATGAATAGGTAAAAAAAATTCTGGCATATATACACAATAGAATACTATTCGGCTATAAAAGGAAATGATATCCTATTATTCGAAGCAACATGGATGGAACTGGAAACTATCAAGTTAAATGAAGTCAGGCACAGAAAGATCTCATTCATATGTGGAATCTAAAAAAATAAAAAGTGTTTCTCATAGAAGCACAGAGTAGAATAATGGTTTCCAGAGTTTGGGAAGGGATGGGGATTGTGGGGAAGAGAAGTGGTGAACTAATGGGCACAAAACTACGCTATCTACCCCAGGTGAATCATTGTGCTATATATGCATGTACTGAAAAAATACACTTGCACTCCACAAATATGTATGAATAAATGCTCAAATAAAAACATAAATAAAACATATAGCAATCAATTTACAAAATGGAAATGGATCACATTTTGGGGGGACAATTTCTGAATGACAAAGAAGATGAAAATGGCTACTAAGAGCAGCTCATTAACTCTTCTGCGAACCTTCTATCTAACTCCACAATGGCTTTAGGTACTCCATTCTTGTTAAGTGCAGCAGGATGTTGGGAAATGACATACCCGAACAGATTGTAGCAAAAGTTAGACCTCCAGTTAAATGAGTGCCATAATTTCAACTTCCTAAGGAACAATCTCAAAAGACAAAACATACCCTTTTCCAATCATCCATGCACCACTCTCCTTCCCCAATCTCATTCATCATCACCCTTCCACAAAAAAAAACAACTCAAGCCTATCTTATTTTAATACTTTTCAATAGCTTTGCTAAAGAGTAATTAAAATATCTCTAAATTTGGGAGTCCAAACAAATCTCAAAATATACTAACTCAAATGTTTCTTAAGTTAACATTTCTTAAACTTTTCATTCTTTACTTAAATTCTCAACACTTTAGAAAGTTTTTCACTTTAGAAGTCAACAAACTTTACCAAGCTTTATGTTTACTATTTTCAATACTAGGCTGACTGATTTTTTTCCTAACAGGACATGATCTCCTCGCTATTGCTAATGAATAAAGCTGAGAAAACAGACTGAGGTTTGCTTAAGCAAACCCTAAAGTAATACAAAGAAATTCCCAGAAATAGAAGCACAGTTAAACTTACAAATGATTTAAGAACCACATTCTAATGCTTGATTTTGTTTCCATCATCCGATCAAAAACAAACAAACAAACAAACATAGATACTGGTGCATTTTAAACTTGAATGAAGTGTGACCTTTGCCTTATCAGCCATTTCAGCAAATGCTGAAGAAGAATAACACGGTCTAAAGATGGGCAAGACCAAGGAGAGAGAGTAAAGAAAAGAAAATACATACTCCGTAAACAACTAGGCAACCACAGAAAGAGGCAGAAATGAATACAAGGTTTCAGCATCTCATTTACTACTATAAATGTGGGGTGTGAACTCATCTTCTATAGGCACTTCTTGGTAATCAGCTGCTGTGGGTTGATTGAATTGTGTCCCCCAAAGTCCATAAATTAGAAGCTCAATTCCCACTGTTACTGTTGAGGGTGGGAAATCCTATTACAGTCATTGAAAGGTGGAGCCTTGAAGAGATGATTAGATTGTAGGACCATGCCTAGTGAATGGATTAATAATGGTGGTCAGGGGCGTAGACTGGAGGGCTTTAAAAGAAGAGCACATGAGAGGTTAGTCTCTCTCTGCTCTGTCACTTTCTGCCATGTGAGACCACTGGGTCACTGTCGCCACTACCAAGAACCCTCCACCAGCTGTGTTCCCTGGCCTTTGGACTTCCCAGCCTCCAAAACTGTAAGCAATACATTTCGTTTTCTTTATAAATCACCCATTTTCAGGTATTTATGTTACAACCAACAGAAAAGGACTAATACACCAACATAATATTAAAAAGTAGAAAGGGGGGAGGAGACGACACTGGTTTTATTAAAAGAATGAAAGATAAGAAGCCAAATTTTTTGTTCTCTATAACTGCTATCATTGTTTCAATCAAAATTCCTTAGCCAGGCAAGTATTTTCTCTTTCCCTGGTTTATGTATAGTTTTATGTGAGCAACAACTCTACAACTTCAGTGCCTTTGGAATCCATAGGCACCCATAAAAATGAAAATACTGTTGGTGCTTTGCAGAAATTAGCTGAACAGGAAACTTAACTTATCTAATTTCTAATATAACAAACAGCAAACTGCTCTGACTGAAGAAGCACCTTTTAAGTCATCAAATGTCCCACACCTATGAAGAAACTCCCTGCGAGGAAAAGATGGCTTTTCCAAGTACACTGTTAACAATCCTCTGACTTACAAGCGCTCTCTGCTCCTCAAAAAGCCCCAAATGTTCTGTTCATGGAATTAACAGAAACTCCATGCTTTGGAGACAAAGCACTCATCCCGCCTACAAAATATTGTTTATCTTCCCATTACAAAGGGACATTAACGAAAACTCTCTACCCACTACGTCTAAGACACCCTTCTCCTCCAAATCAATTGAAAAAGTCCTTCATAACGCCCCCAAAAGTTTCCAAGAACGGCAGCCCCAAGTGTACTCGGGGCCAAAGATTGTGAGAGGAATGTCCAGATTACTGCTTATACATTATCCTCAGGACGACCCACGTTTTAAAATCGCACGTACGGAACATATGATATCTGACGTGCTTTATGGTCTTACCACACTCTGAAAGCAAACGACCGGCAGTGAATCCGAGCTACTTACCTACCATCTATCTGACCACCACCGCAAACACTGCACCGTCTCCAAGGGGTAGAGCACCTGAGTAAAAGGCACCTGGTGATCCCCTCTACCCAGTCACCTTTCTCCCCTACTTAGCTTCTGTATATCCAAAATACTTCATGAAAATCTCCGCACGGAATGCTACTATACAGTCAGAGGGAGAGTCTCGGAGCAATCGGTTTACCCCTTACACGAGAGCCTTGGAGACCCGCACCCTAAAAGCCAAGATAACTTGGGGGTGTGACCTGGGCTGCTCCCTCCTTCTCCCCTCACGGAAACTTCCATGTTGTCGAGGCTACTCACCAGACCAGGGAGCACAGAGAGAGGCAGGAGAGCAGGGCCAAGGCCCGCCGGTACTTCTTCATCTTTTCCTCCTTCTTCCCCCTGCCAGAAGGCGGCACATCCTCCCGGCAGCCGCCACTGCCGAGGCCAAGATGGAGGAGCCGGAGCAGGCGCGAGAGGATGGGACCGAGAGTCCTAAGGGCTGTGGCGCTGGGGGAGAGGCTCCTCAGAGCCTGGCGTCCCGGCTGCCCTTTCCGAGGGGCCCACAGCGGCGCGGACAGGGGCTCTTCACAGGAGGACTCCGGGGACTGCCGCTCCTGCCGCCGCGGGCCCGTCCGCGCCCGCCTCCTCCAGCCACCGCCGCCGCCACTGCCGCCCCATATCCCCCCCGCCCGGCCCGGCCCTCGCTCCGTTCCGCTGGCGACCAACGGCCGCCGCGTACTAGCTTCTCAACAGCCAATCGCTGGCTGGGCCGGGACACCTCACACACCGCTGAGCTGGAAGGAGATGCGTCACCCACGTCCCGCGGCGCTCGCACCCCCACCAGCCTCCGCGCGCGCCACGCCCCCTCCGACGACCCAGGCGGAGAAGCCGGGGGGAGGAGGATAAAAAGCTCTGGAGCCGGCGTTGCAGCCGCTCCGCCCACCTTGGGTCCCGCCCACTTACTGGCTCGCGTTCGAGAAGTCGGGAGGAACCCCGTGACCCTCAGCCTTCCTCCTGACAATGGCCCGCCCCTCGCCCAGCGCTCGCCGCGTCCGCGCAATGCCCCTCGGGAGTTGTAGTTTGCCTTCCGGAACCCTCCTTCCCTTTTCCCTGTTTCTCCGAGAATCCACGGTTTTAATGAAGTCAATAGTTTCGCTTCCCACCGCGAGACTGACCAGCTTTGGAATTGTTACAGTCAGTTTGCCTTTTATGAGCACAGTTCGTGAAATGGCCTAAAATGACGGAAAAGGCGGGATCAGGGAGGAAGAAAGCTGTACTAATAAAACTTAAAAGGCGTTTTCCGGGCATCAACGGACTAGACCATTGAGCTAGATGCTGATTGGTAGGCAGAAAAGGGGCGAGCCAAGATGTCCTCTCACTTGATTGGTTGGAGCGAAAACCTTTCTTCTCTATTTCAGCGAGAATTTCGCATCCCCCCCAGCTTCTTCAATTGAGGTCGCCTCAGTGGTGGGTCTTCTGTTGGTTTGGAGCTTTGGGTTCGCTGCGATGGGGCGGGAAAGGATTGCGGTCTCCGCTGGGAGAGCGAAGCGCCCACAGACGCTCCAAGTCCTGGGGTTCACCGAAAGCTAGGAAGGCGGTCGCGTACACCCACCTATTGCTATGATCTGGGGCAAAAAAGTGACCGTTTCTCAGTACTAAGTAACTGGCAGCGTTGCCCACTCCAAATTTTGATGCCGCTGAGAGGACGGAGGCTGCAGGTGTCTGTGCCTTGGAACATGGTATAATGTGTAGTGTGAAAAATGTTTAAAGCAGGTGTTACTTATTGTTCATGTGGCCATAGAAAAAAAACCTCAGTAAAATGCCCAGCTAAAGTCTAATTTTGAGCCATGGAATTTCCTTCAGAACTTTCTACTTTCTAAGTCGAATTGGTTGTTAATTATGTTCTCAAGGAAGTGAATGATTTGACCCACTCTATAATTCCTGGAAACAAGTCAACTAGACGTCTGAGAAATTCTACAAAGGATGATCATTTTGGCTTTAGACTAGTTCACCCTAACCTACTTTTTCTGGCAATAATTAGGTAACAGTTCCAATTATATGTTGATGTCACTGTCAGTCTGTGACAATGAAATCTTTTTATCTCTATTCTCCATTGCAGGAGGAAAGTATATATCTCACCCAAGAGCAGTATCAAGTGATTAATGTGCAAGTTAAATAGAAGGTAGGGGCAATAGAAAGATAGGTGTTATTTGACATTCTTTACCATGTTGGACACCCTTTTCCTTTTCCTCCAAGAACTCTGTTATTCAGGATAGGGAACAGGTGACCCTCAGCTGATCCTCAGTATATCACAGACAAGGAAGTTCTATTAGAATACATGCTCATCTCAAGCCTAGGAAGTGACCGAGTTGCCTCTCCTATCTCCTCTCTCTCTCATCCCCAAACTACAAGTCCACCTACTTCTTTTCCTCCAAGTCCCTGCAATAATCTTTAGGAGTACACAGCTAATAAACGAATTTTACTTTTTTCTTTCTTTCTTTTCTTCTTTCTTACTTTTTCCTGCCTCTGGAGCTTTATTAGTACCCTGTGGTAGAATTGCCATTGTTAAAGAAAATTCAGAGGCATAATAAAATTTTAAAGAGTTTATTTGAATAAAAAGCAGTTCATGAATTGGGGAACACCAGACCAGCAGAAGTTTAGAGTTCCAATGACAAAACATCAGAGGTAAATATCCATTGGGAAAATGCAGAGGCAAAATAAAGAAATTTGATTGGTTGACAGTTACATAATTGTCTTTTGGGAGGGTACCTTGTTGAAAAGTTCCTAGCCACATAATCATGTTAGTTGGCTGCTTATGATTGATGCGGTTAAGCCTTATTTCTGTTTAACATAAGCATGTATCAGAAATGACCCAAGTTAAAATTCACCTATGTTTGCAATTTAGCTACATTAAGGCTATTTTTAAGGCCTAGCTGACTTTGTTTGCTCAGTAATTTCTTAAGCCTGTTCCCCATTTTACTTTAACACCATTCACCTAATTATTATTCAATTATTAGCTTTCACTATTTCAGTCTATCAATATTCTTTTCTCTTTTTGCTAGTTTCTTTTCCATGGTTTCACGCTAAAAATGAAGCCTTCAGTCCCCTGAGCTTGTTTATTTTTCTCTTGGATATTTAATAATTTCAATTTTCAACCATACTGTCAACTGCCAGGTCTATATCCCAATCTCTCTTCAAGTAGTGGCTGGACATAGCACTTAGATATTCCTATATCATTTCCCATTTTGTCTGCATAAAATGGAACTCATCTTTCCCATAAATTAGCTTCTTTACCTGACTTTCTATTTGCATTAATTCTTTCCTATTGTAAGACGTCAGATCATGAGAATAAGAGAAGTTCCAGAGAGCTGACCTTTGAAAAACTAGTAGACATTTTTTTGTACATGTCTGTTAAATATAATGGGAAAATATAAGGGGAAAAATTGTGTTATAACTCACAGATAAATAGAATAAGAAAATGAGTAAAAATTATATAAAATAAATTGAGTATTGATAAATGCCACCATACTTAAAACCATAACATATTCCAAAGAATGAAAAGAAAAAGTATAAAAGCAAAACGTGTATAATTTATGTCCCAATTTAAGTAACCACCATCTACTCCCCTTACCTATACTACAGCAGTTCTCGACCTGGGAAAATTTTTCCCCCTGGGGGTGAAATTTGCAGTGTGTGCACACATTTTTTGGTTGGCACAATTGGGAAATGCTACTGACATCTAGAGAGTAGAGGACATGGATGCTGTACCACATTCTACAATGCACAAGACAGCCCTCCACAACAAAAATTATTTGGCCAAAAAGTCAAAAGTGCCAGGGTTGAGAAACTCTGCTATAACAGCATTTCCCAATTCAATACAATCTGTAAAGCCCTGACCACATGATAACTCGATTGCCCTGCAATCCTTGGATTATTCAGGAAGTCACCAAGGACTAAATTGCACAATGAAAGTGAGTTTTCCCATTCCTAAAAGTTAACTACACAGAAACTCCGGGCAGCTCAAGTCCTTGCTCTGATAAATATCATATACTCTGGTGAAAAAGAACTAGCAGATCTCAGAAAAGGAACCAACACCTTCTGGCTATCTCCTTTGTTCTTTATCTCTACACAAATCATATTTAAGATGCCCAAGAGAATGGGCTGAGCCAGTGGTGCACTCGGGAGAGTGCGGCGCTGGGAGCGCATCGGCACTCCTGCCGCGGGTTCGGGTCCTGTATAGGGATGACCGGTGCGTTCACAGCGCTCACTGGCTGAGCGCCGGTGCGGCCGGTCTCAAAAAGGACAAAAAAAAAAAAAAAAAAAAAAATTAACTGTTTGTCTAACTTAGTTGGCGGTGAGCAACTTTTGATATATTTTGATTTAGTTGAAAAATTATCTGCTCCTTTTAGTATTGCAAAATGCTGAGATACTATGTCTAAGAAGGATCTTAGAGAGGATCAGCTGTCATCCAGTGACATTAGATGCTTCCAGAGTAAAAGCCAGTCAGAGCAGAAATTCCCTGGTAATCAGTGAAAAAAAGGTCAAGGAAGTCAGAACAGACAGACAATAAAGGGGATGAAATTAGATAGGAAAAAGGGTGAATGTGGCAATCAGCACTTAAAATTTTAACTATATATAAGTAAGTATAAACATAATGGTATAAACATAACTTTGTCCCCGCCTTGTTTTCTTCTTCTTTACACATGTAGATATGTGCATAGAAGAGCATATACTTATTTTATTAGTCACTCCCTATCTGAAAATAGCCTAAACCACTTCACCAGATCTACCTTAGCAGAGCACTGATAATTTGGCCACTTCAAGAGGTAAAGGTAGAACCCACGAGGTGAGACAATAATAAACTGCTTCACTAGGGCAGCCTGAGCACTCAGTCCCTTAAAGAATGGGTGAATTACAAGTGTAATGTTGGCTCGTACAGTTCTGTTTATAGTTTATACTGCAAATAACAAAGGTAAGATTTACCTTTAAAAAAATTTTACTTTTCGATCCCAAATTTAATCTTCTATCACTGGGTTAACGTGTATTTTGAAGATACATGAGTTCAGTAGGTTCGTAATGGAATCAAACAGAAGGGAATGATTACATGTGAGTGATGGTAAGGGAAAAAATCAAAGATGGCCCGATTTCTAGAAGAATGTGTGTCATTACTTGAACAGGAAAGTCAGGAGTCCCAGGATTTCAGGGAAGATTAGTTTGGGTTCGGAAGCACAGTATTAAATTTGAGGTTCTGGTGGAAGTATCTGGCAAGAATTTACAAGTGCAAGATTTTAAATAGGGAGAGAAAAGTAGCAACTGAAGACAACATACTAGGGGTTTTACCTGCTGTGTCCTTCAGTACCTCCTGCATAATGCTCTCAGATGAAGCTTCCTAAAACATTATCTTTATCTTGTCCTTGCTTTGATGCAAAAATCTCCTATACGTCTTAAGTATTTGTCAGATAAAGTCTTCCTCCTTAGCCTGGCATTTGAAGTCTTCCATTATCCAACCCAGTTAATGGTTCAAGCCTTATCCCCCACTATTTCCTTCAACCTTCTCAACAGACCATGCTTCTTGCCATGTCCTGAAGCACTGTGCCCTCATGACACTGTTTTTATTTAATGTTCACTTGTTATGTTATGTCTTCCCAAGCGTTGTATAAATTCCTTGTGCAGAGAGATCATGTATTTTATATGAATACTTCAA